AGTGCTCTGTGATCATTTGCCAGTGCAGCCTCAAGGTCCTGGGGATTTTCTGACTTCCGATATCGCTCAGTGTGGAAGATAGCCAAAGTATGCAGATAGAAAAGGATGTCTGGATGCCCATCGGGCAATGACAATAAACTACCATAGTAACTTTCCAATGCTCCGTCAAGGTCTTGCAAGGATCCCAATCTTCGGTAGCGTCGCTCAAAATTGGCCCCCATATTCCTGAAAATAACAGGACGAGACAGGTGGCCATCAGGCGTCAACTTGATTGCTTGGGCATCACTTTCAATTGCCGTCTGGATGTCTTTCAAGTCTCCAAATGTTGCATACCGTAGCATAGTAGCAATGGCAAAGGTATGAAAGATGGCAGGATTCCGGTCAGGAGAGAGTGTTATTGCCCTTTCGCAGCCTTCCAGAGCATTATCAAGGTGTTCCGATGGTTGCCCTTGGCACAGACTTAAATTCAACAGAGCAGCAGAATGGAGATGAGTGGGAAGGTCTGGGCTCCCCTCAGATGTCATGCTAATTATTGTTTGGTATTTCTCCAGTGCAACTTCGAGATCACTGATCTGCTCCTCAGCTGGGACACTGAGATGGAAAGACGTGTCCATTGTTAATGTCAGGTCCGAAAGAGCGAAGTGGCTACCGGGCAGCAATGTCACGGCTCTTTTCTCATGTTCATTGGCAACCTGAAGATCATTCAGGTCTCCGAGCTTTCTATATCGGTCCATGTAAGTGACAGCAAGGGAGTGCAGTCTGGTCGGTAGATTTGGGTCGTTGTCTGATGTCAGTTGGACACCTTTCTGAAGGCTGGCCAGAGCTAAGTCAAGGTCTGACAGATTGTCTGAGCGCTTGTATCTGTCCGTATAACATATAGCCACGGACCAGAGGTGTCCAGCAAGGTCTGGACTCTCCTCTGATGTCAAGCTGATGGCAGCCTCCTCATTTTCCAGTTGAGATTGAAGGTCTGCCAAGTATCCCAAAGCCTTGTATTTGGTTTTATAGGACTCTGCTAAAGAACGCAAATATTTGGACAGATTTTGATCACCTTCAGGAGTTAACTTGATAGCTCTCTGATTATATTCCAGGGCAGCCTCAAGATTTGCTGATGTCCCTCCAGTCCTGTGGTAGCGGACTCTCAAAGAGGCAGCCAAGGAGTTAAAATACTCGGGCAGATTAGGATCCTCCTCATCTGTCAATCTTATAGCCATTTGATCATTCTGAATTGCGGATTGTAAGTCCGCAAAATTTCCTTGACTGCTTTTGGATTTCTCTGCATATAAGACAGCCAACAAGTGAAGGCGGGCAGACATCTCTGGGTGTCTTTCAGATGACATTCGGATGGCTCTTTGATGACTGCTTTCCGGTGAGGCCTCCAACTCTGCTAAATTCCCCAAGTTCTTATATCGGGTTTTGTAAGAGATCACCAATGAATGGAGACGGTCCGGCATCTCTGGGTCTCGGTCTGAGGACAATTGAAAAGCCATTTCATCATTTTCCACCCAGGATTCAAGGTCCGTTAGATTGTGGAATTCCTCGTAATGATCCATGTGTGATACAGCCAAGCTTCGGAGATATCCAGGTATGTCTGGATGGCCTTCAGGGCTCAGCTGCAAAGCAATTTTGTAATTCTGCAGAGATGCTTCAAGATCCTGGAGACTATGCACTTTCTGATAATGGTAGGCAAATGATACACCCAAAGTGTGATGAAGCTGAGGAAGAGATGGGTGTCCCGAAGGAGTGAGGCTGATAGCATGTTGCGCATTTTCTAGTGCAGCTTCAATGTCCTCCAACTGTTCCAATTTCTCGTAGTAATCGGTAAGACATGTAGCCAAGAGCTGGAGACGGATGGCCAGCTGTGGGTACCCTGCAGGTGTCAAAGCAATGGCCTGTTTGAACCTGTCCAGTGCTGACTCAAGGAATCTTAACCTCTGCGAGTTATGATACAAATCTGCCAAAGACGTTCCCAAGTTCTGCAGGGCATGTGGCAGGTTTGGATGGTCACTTGGTGTCAATTCCACAGCCCTATGAAAGTGTTCCTGTGCTAATTTTAGATCTTCAAATGGGCGAACCTGGCTGTCTTTTGCGGCAAATGACAGTCCTAACTGGGTATGGTAATGTGCGGGATCTGGATGCTCAGACGGTGTTACCACGTCACATTCCAACTTCTCTAAGATTGTGGTCTATTGGTGTAAGTTTTCGGTTGCATGGAATGAGGGAACAGCTTCACCCAAAAGTCTTTGGCTTCAGTATCTCCTTCCTGGCTGTCTTTGAAATCCTGCTTCCGCACTGTTAAATGGGGATAAGGAATATTTAATATTCGTTCTCACCGTCTGGTTAGACATCTGATCACTGGGGGCCTCACCAGAATCACCCCCACCTTTAAGTATATGTGGCCGACTTCCATTCATTATGTCGGAAGTATGTCAACGGAGGTTGACATGTTGACACCGGGCGGTGATTTCTATCATCGTCCCAAATCAGTTTAGTTGGGAACAATATTGATTTAAGTATGGGCGATATACTGTCCAATGATTACGTGCATTTTACAGGGTTTTTACATACAACTTACAGCTTTTCTGAGGTTTTTGAGTTCAACTTCTTGTACCTGCCCACAACGTGGATTACATCTCACAGATGTTTACAACCTCTTCAACCTAGATACATCTCCTCACATGCTTGGCATCATCACGAATATGATCCCATCAAACATGGCAAGTCCATAAATCATTGTGTTCTGCTTCAAAATAATCACTTTGGCCCTGCAGCTGCTTCAAAAAATGTGCAAATGGTGCTATAAATCTTGAATAATTATGTTGAATGGTTGTGCTCATGATTTAGGGACGATTTATCTCAGCCAAGGTAGTAGCAACTCTTTGAACCGGAATTTCACATAAATTCGGTTTCAAGTCGTTCTACCCAAAGTATCATGTCCTGGAACATCAAAGTACTGCGTTATCTGGTCAAAAAGGTGTACTGGACCTCTGTGAGCCCTTCGCGGCTTCACAAAGGCGAAATATGTGATTACCGCCGAATACGGCTATCGGCAGCACAAACCATTGTTGTTCTCATCAACTCAATTAAAACTCCGCAATTTTTTCAACAACGGCGAAGTGACAAGGAGATGTAGACATCCTCAAGGAGTTGTATAAATTCAGTTGTCAACTTGAATCAAAAGATGTAATCCAAAGGTGAGGTTGTGTGCAGCTTACCCAGATGTAGCTCAAACCACTGTAAGCAGCTCAGGTTGTGTGCCAAATAATTAATGGACAGTATATGTGCCATACTCATCCGCACGTTATGTGTCAGCAACAGCCCTTAGGTCGACCCAAGTAATCACAAAGACGAGCCCTCCAGGACTGATATAAACCACGACCTTGCACATAGGGGGATTGTATCCCACTTAGCCCATAATAATGATGGAGACCAGTAATGCTTCACTATTCCGAGTGAAGGAGTGGTGTCAAAGTTGAAAAGTGGGATAGGAAATGCAGGATACGAATCGGAGCAATCCTGCAGCAAGGGAGAATCAAGATGTAAGTCTATAAAGCAACACTCTTGCCGAAGTAAGACCAGAGTATAGATGAGATAGAATCTACTGTACAGGATTCTATCTACTGCCTTATATATAAAATATCCTACGATCAGTTTCCACATCACTGAAACCGGTTGTCCTCCTATTTGCCTTCTCCGTATTAGTTGTGCTTGACAACCATTGCTGTGAGATGGATATATTTTGGGGTTCTGCCCAAAGTATATCCCGCAATTGAAAAAAGGATAGGGGTTTAGTCGTGAACACACTCGTTTCATGACATTACAGGGCTGGGAATGTACAGAGTGGGGGATAGTGAAATGTACCCTGTGAGTATTTAGAACTCCACAACCGCACTGGAGCCTCTTTTCCTTTCCTCGGATGTTTGATAAGTAGCCAACAAGGTTCAAAAAATGACAGGCAGCTTGCACAACTCACCTGTCGGCCCTCGAAATACAGGGAATAAGCTTAGATCATTCACACTCAGTGTTGGAGCCGTTTGTAAGACAATACGCAGGAAGGTGGAGCTTCAAATCCTCCTCGAGGCATGAATGGAATCTGAATAATGGATTGGTGTCTTGTTATTGCCTTATGTTTTTTGTTTTGTTTTTTCATTCACTGCAATCAGCCCTCAACATGTTTCGGTCCTACAGCTGGTCACCGATCAGTCAGTCACATCAATTCCTGTGATCTTATACTGAAAGCTAGGAAAGCAGGATGAAAAATCTATGGCGGCAGATTCTCATATGCACATATAAATCTCTCGCCTGTGCGGGATTCAAATGAAAAGACGTGTTTCTCATTGAATATGGATCGCGACGAAATTCAAACTCCACGATTACGGAACAACTTTCTGACCCTGTGATGGCAACGGGACTAGCCTGGAATGGAGTGTAAAATTGATGTAAAAAAACCTATTCCAGGACACTATCATGCCTTGGGAGGGACTCAAACCTTTGTCTTCCCATGATATTCTTATCTTCAAAATACCTCCAAAACGGAGAAGGGATGATCTACCAACAATCCACTGAGGCAACACTGAGGTGTTCCTACTCTTATTTGAGGTTGGGTATTGGCTGTATTGCAAGTGCGGCTTTTAATGAGTTAGACTGCCCGGAATAATAATATCAATCAGTCCATGGTTTGCATAAATTCAACGCATAAAGTTTATCTGGATTGTGAGTGGGGAAATGTGTAGTGTAAATGGAGATGGTTATTTTAAAGCGAGAAAATAATGCCAGGTGTAAGCTATGAAAAAAGACTTCACGTCCACCTATGCCTTGGGAGGGATTCAAGCAACCTTGTGACAACTGACCAAATATATCGTGTTGAAGGGAATAAATACATTCAAGCTCCCGTGTTTGCGCAGTTCTGCATATGTAAGAATGCACAGATTGGCATGTTTTGTTATGATGAAGAGAAAAAAACTTAAAGCAGTGTCAAAAAGCCAATTGTCGAAATACCATGCCCCGGGGAGGATTCGAACCTCCGCCTTCCTAGTTGGGATGATCTGCCTATTGATCTACCAAGACTTATTCTATGTATTTTAGGGTCAGGTAGGTGGGGTAATTTTTGGGTGCGAGCTCAATATCTTTTTCAACCGTCTAAGCTACGATTGAATATCTGAGCAAACAAAAATTTAATCAATGTGGACTTCAATTGGTTTGGCAATTCTACATGATGTGGATGAACACACAGCCTGGCGTGGTTTAGATTGGAACAAAGGGGGTAGAAATAACTAAGGCAAGAAGAAAAAGGTACTCAACTCTGTCCCCCATGCCTTGGGGAGGATTCGAACCCCCATCTGCCGATTGATCTACCAAGGCTTATTCTTTGTATTTTGTGGTTGGGTAGGTGGGGTAATTGTTTGGGTGCGAGCTCAATATCTTCTTCAACCGTCTAAGCTACACTTGAATATCTGAGCAAACAAAAATCGAATGAACCTGGACTTCAATTGGTTTGCAAATTTTACATAGGTATGTGTATGAACACAGAGACTGGTGTGGTTTCGAATGAAACAAAGGGAATAAAATAACTAAGGCAAGAACAAAAAGGGACTAAACGATGTCAAGCTCATGCCTTGGGGAGGATTCGAACCCCCATCTGCCGAACGGCACAAAGTATTGCGATATTGATCTGCCGATTGATCTACTAAAGCTTATTCTCTGTATTTTGGGGTCGGCTAGGTGGGGTAATTTTCTGGGTGCGAGCTCAATGTCTTTTTCAACCGTCTAAGCTAGGTTCGGAGCAAGCTTGTCTCCGCACCGCCACGCCGGTGATTCTCGCAGTCCGAAGCACGTCATGCTTTTGATGAGAACGGGGCTTGATCCGAACCTACGTCTAAGCTACGATTGAATATCTGAGCAAACAAAAATCGAATTAACGCGGACTTCGATTTTGCAAATTCTACATAGATATGTGTGTTCACACACAGACTGGCGTGGTTTCGAATGGAACAAAGGGGGTAAAATAACTAAGGTGAAAACAAAAAAGCAACGATCCCATGCCTTGGGAAGGATTCGAACCTCCGTCTTCCCATAGGTACGCAATGTAGTACACAGTCCATGGAGAAGGGATGATCTGCCCATTGATCCACCAAGGCGTATTCTTTACCTTTGGAGGACGGATATGTGCTGTGATTTTTGTGCGAGCTGCCTGTCATTTTTCAACATTTCAACCCTTCTATAATGGAATATCTGAGCAAAGATAAATCGAATGAACGTGGACTTCAATTGGTTTGAAAATTATACATGATGTAAATGAACGCAGAGATTGGTGTGTTTCGCATGATGGAGGAGAAAAACTCAGGGCAGGAACAAAAAGGCACCAATTAAACCAATGCCTTGGGGAGGATTCGAACCTCCGTCTTCCCATGAACCCGTGCTACGATTGATAATGGAGCAGGAATGATCTACCAGTGATATACCAAGGCCTATTCTCTGTATTAGAGGTTGGATAGGTGCCACGGTTTTTGTGCGGGCTGCCTCAGCAACTTAAAAATCCGAATTAATGAATTCACTGCGTTGAAGCCCTTCGTAGTCACAGGTATGGCTACGGGGGTAGACAAGGGGGTAGACATGGGCATATGTGTACCTGGGAATAACAGTGTAAACACAGTTGTTGCTGCATGGTCTACCCTACCCAAACTGTGTCTACTTGTAGACTCGTAACCAGTCTGTATACAATGGCCGAAAAAATGTGGCAAGCACTTCGGTGTATACAGACTGGTACAACTCGGGTTGTTGCATTGGGCTGTCGGCGGAGTTTGAAAATTTGGTGAGGGCCCTGTTCTGGGATGCAGTTTGAGTATGAATCAATTTGGAGCACACATGAATGATTTTACTTTAAAAATGGCTCAATCTGTCTCCTCACTTATTTTTTAATCTAGCTTGGGAGAGTGGAAAGAGCCATCAACTTTCGACCAGAATTGATGGGGTCTGATGGCTCTTGTGCCGGCCGATCACGGCACCTGCTAACATTTGAAACTCCGGGGACAGCTCAATCACTTTCAACGAGTTGTACCAGTCTGTAACCACCGAAGTGCTCGCCACATATTTTCGGTATCTGGTTACAGACTGGTAACGAGTCTAGTCTACTTGGGGGTACCTTGGTAGACCCAGGGTTTGCCCAGGGTAGACCCAGGTACACCAAGTTGGAGAACTGTTTGGGAGCTCCAATTTACATTGATAGGCTTGTAGCGGTATTTTCCAAGTAAGTCTTTGTGCAATGATTCTCAACGTCAATTCTGAGCTGGCCATGATTACCAAAGTTATGGCATATTTGACTCTCTGATGCGGCACAAGCCGCACGTGGCACTGGCGGCGCCATTTCAAACCTTTTCAGGCACGCTCTCATAGTATGACAGTCTCGTCACGGAATCCTCGGGCAGGATATGGTATGTCGCGGTGGGTCCACATTGGGCTACCCGACATAGCCCAATGTAGTCACACTGTGACAGCATGTGACTACCTCCTGTGTACCAGGCTACCCAAGCGTAGCCAAACATATATGTTGATCCCCTCATCTACCAGGGGTAGGCCATGGGTAGACCAATGTGAACCAATGTAGCCAGCCTCTGACTACAAACGGCCTCAATGCAGTGATTACATTACCGCGGGCTCGCCTTTGTTTCCCAGGTTTCAATCGATTGAATACGCAGAACGGCATGTTTTGAATGAAACAAGAGAAAAAAATAACCAAGGCAAGAACAAAAAGTTTGTCATCTTTGACCCCCATGGCCTTGGGAGGGATTTGAACCCTCGTCTTTACTCAGCTCAAAGTAACAGTAATGATCCACCAATGATCCACCGAGCAACTCCTACATTATCCATGCCCAAGATAAGTGGAGCTTTCATTTAAAATCACCTCACAATAATTTGAACTCGGAACAAACCCGGCAACTCCCGGCCAAGCAACCAATCATGACCACATCAATTATCAATCATCTCCTTTCGGCTTCCCACTGGGATTCTCCTCGACGACCCACTCGTCCACCCGCAGCTTGAGCTCCTGACGGCGACTTCAAAGACGACGATGTACACGCGTTCGAACCCCGGACCTGTGCCACACGCTTTCCCCGCGCCCCGCCTCGCCCGCAAAGTCGCCGACCACGTCCCGTTTTCGGGATAATACTGGCACCAATAATAACAACACCACGAATGTGAATAGTTCACCCACGCCGCGGTCGCGCACCAATTCGCTCTTTGACTCCCCTGCTGGAGGTACATTCTGACTACTGCGAGTATTTTCAAATTTATTGATTATGCCCATAGGCTCGCTGCACCGCAGCACCCCAAGCATCGACGACCTCAAGCCCAACGCGCACCCGTACCCCATCCGCACAACATCCACTGCCCTCCTCACGCGCTCCAACTCCACCAGCTCGCAGCAGCAAAACGGGGGCCGGCACCACTACGTGCCGCCGCCATCGCCACACCCCTCGCCACACGGGGAGAGAACCAGTAGTAACACCAGTGCTAGCGGTGACGGAAATAATGGGGGCAGCGGCGGGAAGGCGGCGGGCGAGAGGAGGGGCGAGTACCGTAGGCACCGATACTCGCAAGTTTGAGCTCGAGCGAGGGGATGATGGCGTACGGAGGTGTCGCTGCGGAGAGCCCAGGAGCCCTGCCGGTGCCGCCCGGTTGGAGCCATCAACCAAGCAGGGACAAAGTGATGGTGCCAGATATTGAAATATAAGATAGGATCAGAGCGAGTCCATCCACTTGCCCCACCAGCACATCCTCACTGTCTCCACCAGCCTTATAACATGTCCAAGATGTAGATTGGGCTGTGGAATTGACACCAAGTGACCATCCAAATCTGCCACATGCCCTGCAGAACTTAGGAACCTCTGGCAGATTTGTACTATAACTCGCAGAAGTTGAGATTCCTTGAGTCAGCACTGGACAGGTCCAAACAAAATTGCTTTGTAGTTGAGCCCTGAAGGCCATCCAGACGTCCCTGGATATCTTCGAAGCTTGGACATGGATCATTATGAGGAATTCCACAATCTAACGGACCTTGAATCTTGGGTGAAAAATGATGAAATGGCTTGTCGATTGTCCTCAGACCGAGACCCCGGACCGTTTCCATTCATTGGCGATCTCTCACAAAACCTGATATAAGAACTTGGGGAATTTACTAATGGGAAAGCAGTCATCAATGGGCCATCAGAATGGTATCTGAAAGACACCCAGAGATGTCTGCCCGCCTTCACTCATTGGCTGCCTCGTATGCAGAGAAGTTCAAAAGCAGTCCAGGAAGCATTGCAGACCTGCAATCTGCAATTCAGAATGATCAAATGGCTATAAGGTTGACGGATGAGGAGGATCCTAATCTGCCCGAGTATTTTAACTCCTTGCCTGCCCATTTGAGAGTCCGCTACCACAGGACTGGAGGGACATTAGCAAATCTTGAGGGCCCTGGAATATAATCACAGAGGTATCAAGTTAACTCCTGAAGGTGATCAAAATCTGCCCAAATATTTGCGCTCCTTAGCAGAGTCCTATAAAACCAAATACAAGGTTTTGGGATACTTGGCAGACCTTCAATCTCGACTGGAAAATGAGAAGCCTGCCATCAGTTTGACATCAGAGGAGAATCCAGACCTTGCTGGACACCTCTGGTCCGTGGCTATATGTTATACGGACAGATACAAGCGCTCAGACAATCTGTCCGACCTTAATTTGGCTCTGGACAACCTTCAAAGAGGTGTCCAACTGACATCAGACAAGGACCCAAATCTACCGATATAGTAAACTAGGAGACCTGAATGATCTTCAGGCTGCCAATGAACATGAGAAAAGAGCCGTGACCTGCTGCCCGGTAGCCACTTCGCTCTTTTGGACCATACATTAACAATGGACACGTCTTTCCATCTCAGAGTCCCGGCCAGGGAGCAGATCAGTGATCTTGAGGTTGCACTGGAGAATGGCCCTCAGAGTCGGGGCAAAAAGATGGTACAGATCTTGAGAAAGGTATTGGTCGAGGAACCATGGAAGATGCCGAAGATTGGAGAAAATTTCATGAGCCAGAACCAAGGCGCACATCTCCGTGAAAATGGAAGCCGCGTAGGACTGGAGTCAATCGAAGATATCATCAAGAGGGTTGGCGTAATCACGAGTCATATCAGTTCCATAAGCGCTAATCTGTCAGACCACTGCACATCGACGTCGAAGCCTTCTTAAAATGATTGAGCGTGCATATAACAGTTTCCCAACTTACTCGAGCTCCAGCGCTCGCTACTTCGAACCACCATCACATTATGAAGTTCCTATTTGTGCGTCGAAATTTGTCGTGGCTTGAAGAAACTCATGGTCAGTCAACATTTAACACAGTCATACTCAATAAGCAAACCATTCCCGCGGAAATATTGCCACTTTATACTGGGGTTCGGCATAGTTAGTACGGCCGTTTTCGCGACCACCAACGCATTTCTCGTCGGTAGGCCCCCTATTCGGTCCTACCAGTGCTCTCCTGCATATCTCAATTCAAATCCAAAACAGGGTACGACGTGATCACCATTACCAGTACCCATTTCAGCTCCACACCTGTATCAGACCTGGCTATGTGGTACACTGGAAGCAGGACGTTCGGTTGCTTTCCACATCAGTTCCAGCTGGGAGACACGTTCCGCACCAATATATCCGCGTTTTCCTACAGCATCTTCGACGTGGGATCCTCTCAATCCTCTCAATCCGAGGCTGGCGGGCTCCCTGCCGGAGCGGGCTTTTTATATGCTAACCAGGATCTCACTGCTTGCGATGTTGACCAGTTTGAGATCATAGTTAAACCCGGAGACCGTCTCATCATGGCCACGGTCAATTCGTTAAAATGCCCTTGGCAATTCCAGACAACTCACGAATCGCGCAGGTTACCATAGTATGCCCGCCACCTCTTACCTTTCGGGCTGTTACTTCATGGAGGTAAGCGAAATGCCTCTTTCTCTCGGCACACCTTTTCCCTCGCATATCTTCAACGCAGTTATTCGAATCACGCCATGATCGGGAGCCGAGCCGTGTCCGCGTTCCCACTCAACAGCCTCGCTCGAGCGATAACCGACGGAATGAGGAATATCATGGGTACTTTCCCGTCGTTGGCACCGCTGTGCGGCATGCGTGTTGACTCCGACTTACCTAGGTGAAGCCTACGGGGATATCTCCAACAGACTATACACTTCAAATGGGACGACTCACCCCTCCCAACAAATTTACAAAGTTATAGCCCAAGGGGAACCCAGTTGCAATCCGTCTCCGCCGTTCCAGTGTGTCATCCGGCCGTTCACGAGCTACAGCGCAATTAGCAACATAGATCTCAACATTCTGGGTGCCTCGGACATCGCAGCAGACGAGGCAAATTTGTACAACGTGATAAATGTATTCTACGCCGGCGTGAGATTGGATTTAGGACACTGGACCGTGGACAATGTATGTTACATCATTTCTTCCTACCTCTATATGGATTTCTGTCTCACCCACCTTCAAGCTGTTCACCAACACCACGTCCTTCAGACAATTGATCCGGATCACAAGCTCAGCTAACCCTGCCTTTCGGGCCGTTGCCACCACCCAAGGCATGGCCTATGCTAATTCCACAGACCCCCCACCACCAGACGTGCCGACACCACCCGCCGTAGTTCAGATACCCTACATATGCAGCATTATGCAAAGAAAGCCCATCGGAAGCTTCGCCGTCAGCGTCCTATCTGCGACCCCGTCCTATCTGCGACCCTGTCCATGTTCCTGAGCACATGGGGCATAATGATTGCGATCCTATCCTTCATTGTGGGCAAGAATCCGGGAGGTGCGTCTCCAGCTGGCTTCAGGCACTGTCGGTCTGATTCGATACGTATCGTACTTTTTTTAGCTACTTCGTGCGAGTCCCATAGTCAAATCCTGCTGCCATCGAATAGCGAAAAGCAGATAGATTCATGGTTAGCTCCCGTCGCTCACGGTCCGGAGGGTGAAGATGTGCTGTTTGGGAGCAAATGTGGATTTAGGTCCAAAGCGCCAGGGCCGATCATGGATCAGACTCAGGCCTAGCCACGGAGGACATGGAATGTAATCTAGGGTTGAAAACATATACTATCGTGCCCAAATGGTCTGAATTTGCACATTTGGTCTGAATTTCGTGTTTCTCTCCTTGTCCTCCTCCAGCCCCACTGTTTCGTGCGGTTTCCCCTATCTTCGCAGGTTCCTACCCAGCCACACGTTACGAGGTTCAATATACAGAGGAGGTAGTGTTTCATTGATTTCAAATAAGCGGTACGGATGGATGATCTACCAGCGATCCACCAAGGTTTAATCTCTGTATTTTGAGGCTGGATAGGTGCGAGATGCGGCAGGTCACTTTTCAACCTTCTAAGCTACGATTGAATATCGGAGCAAACAAAAATTGAATGAATGTAGACTCCAACTGGTTGGGAAATTCTATATGCGCGGATAAACACAGAGACTGGTGTGTTTTGAATGAACTGAAAACAAAAAAAGTGAGCACAAAAAGTCTTCGCACGGGATCCACATGCCTTGGGGAGGATTCGAACCTCCGGCTTCCCGTATATTCTGAGTTTGGACCAACATTGATGAGGGATGATCTACCAATTGATCCACCAAGGCTTATTTTCTATTTTTCGAAGCTGGGTGGGTGCAGTGAATTCTGTGCGAGCTGTAGACCTGCGCATGCCTTTGCTTGAGCGACCCAATCATTCAGGATTAATGAATGAAATTGCCACGGAGTCTTTTCTAGTGCTAGTTAACCACGTCCTTCAATGGATAGAGCCGCACGAAGTTGATGTAAAATTGATGCAGAAGAACCGACATAGGGTGAGGAAAAAAGAGACAGGTTTACCACTTTATTATGCCTCGGGAGGGACTCGAACCCTCATCTTCCCGCTGTAGAATCGGTATTGGTCAAAGTAACAGGGACGATCCACCATGATCTACCGAGGCTTTCCTGCGATACATATGCACCAGAGAAGCGCACCTTTCGAACTCAGCTAGAATTAAATTTGAACTTGAACCAGGCCCGGCAACTCCCGGCAACTCCCGACCAATCATGACCAAATCAAGCGTCGGCTAGTTCTTCCTCCACTGACGTCGTGCTCGTTCATCTGAGACTTGAGCTTTCGACGACGACGACCACGGCCATGTCGACGATATCCAGCCCGGGCTCTGTACCACTTGCCTTTCCGCGCCCCGCCTCGCTCACAAAGTCGCCTACCACATCCCGTTTTCGGGATAATAGCACCAATAACGACAACACTACGAATGTGAATAGCTCGCCCACGCCGCGGTCGCGCACCAACTCGCTCTTTGACTCCCCTGGTGGAGGTACATTATTACTACTGCGAGAGCTATCGCTTTAATTTATTGATTATGCCCATAGGCTCGCCTCACCGCAGCACCCCAAGCATCGACGACCTCAAGCCCAACGCACACGCATACCTCATCCGCACGACCTCCACCGCCCTCCTCACGCGCTCCAACTCCACCAGCTCGCAGCAGCAGAATGGCGGGCGGCACCACTACGCACCGCCGCCGTCCCCGCATCCCTCGCCGCACCGGGAGAGAACCAGTAGTAACGTCAGTGCTAGTGGGGACGGGAATGGCGGGGGCAGCACCGGGAAGGCGGGTGGAGAGAGGAAGGGCGAGTACCGCGGGCACTGCTACTCGCGTAGCCTGAGCTCGAGCGAGGGGATGGCGTATGGGGGTGTCGCTTCGGAGAGCCCGAGGGCGCTGCCGATGTCGCCCGGGTTTGGTGCGTTTCCTCTCTATCCTTATATTCCCTGTCCTCTAAACTAATATTGCATATAACGGGACAGACACCTCGCCAGACAATAAAGGAATAACCACCGCCCTCTCGCACAAGCCCTGGACGCCCGCATGGCTGGCCGCGTACCTCGGCGGCGAGGTCGGCGCGTGGGCGGCCGTTCATTTGTAAGCATAGGCGAGGGACTGGTTCTTCCTCCGTTGCTTTCTTTTATTTTCCCCTCCTTTCATCTATCCTCGCCCTTCGATCCCCCCCCTTCGCCCTGCCTCGTCCTCCCCGTTTCCTGGCGTTTCCTCCTTTCCGCTGCCCTTCGGTATCGGTATCCGTCGGGCCTGCCTCCCACGCGCTCTTGGTCGTCCATCCAACGCTGCCCAGGACGAGTTCGTCGTGCGTCGCGGCGTCTTTTTTTCCTCGACGTGCCTCGCGGCGTCTGTAATGCGCTGCCCCCGCGCTCGCTATCGGCGATACGGGCGCTCGCGCACTCTCGATAGTCCCCTGTGCCCCAGTCGAGCTCCGTGCTGACCCAGACACCTTCGCCAACATGTGTCCCAAGACTTATACATTTATTGTGGGTTGGACAAAGGGAATGATTTTTTTGCACGCAATATTTCCTTTGCTTCCTCTGAAAGATAATGCGGGCAGCCAGCACTGATTGGAGGTAAATTTTATTTTCGACCTCTACGAAGCAACAAAATATGTCGCCCGTCCATTATATAAATTTCAGGGTGAGCCGCGGGGAAAAGATGTTCGACGATCACCGTCATGCCTTGGGGAGGACTCGAACCTCCGTCTTCCCATGAGAAACTATCGGGAGAGTCACTGAGTGCCAATTGATCTACCAAGGCTTATTCTCTGTATTTCGAGGATAGATAAGCGCAACAATTTCTGTGCATTGGCCTGTCTCCTTCAACCTTGTCACCAACCGTATAAGTATGGGGGAAGTATGAGCTTCAGATTCAAATTTTCCCCCCTGAGTACTCGGTCGACTGCACACAAATGGCTGGCACCCTGAACGTGTATAGTGCAGGCCAGAAGGAAAAAGCAAAAAAAGAAAACGGATCTCTCCGAATGCCTTGGGGAGGATTCGAACCTCCGTCTTCCCAAGTGTAATGCAATATTTTGGGCATTTTACTGAGTGGGGATGATCTGCTTGATCTACCAAGGCTTAATCTCTGTATTTTGAGGCTGGATAGGTACGAGAAGTCTCTGAATGTGGCAAGTCTCTTTCAACCTTCTAAGCTACGATTGAATATCGGAGCAAACAAAAATTGAATGAATGTGGACTCCAACTGGTTGGGAAATTCTATATGTGTATGTAGATGAACTAGTGTGTTTGAAATGACACAATGAAACACGCGGAAAATAAAGGCAGGGAAAAAAAAAAGTCGCCGAACCTCTTTGTGTATGCCTTGGGGAGGAATCGAACCTCCGCCTTCCCACGGACTCCATAGAACAACTTGGAATATAGACTGGGACGATCTGCCAATTGTTCCACCAAGGCTTATTTGACACTTCTAGGGAGGTTGGATAGATGCAGTAATTTTCGTACTAGTGCAGGTCGATTTTTCATCCTTGCCGATCAACCAATATCTGAGCAAGAAGCGAACGAATGTGGACTACAATTGGCTTAGCCATTCTACATCTGATGTCGTAGAACGCCACATGAATTGAAACGATGGAAAAAAATCCAGGCAAGAACAAAAAACCATTTCACCAGTCCATCAATGCCTTGGGGAAGATTTGAACCTCTGTCTTCCCGGTTATGCAACTCGAAGTCAAATAACTAAATAGATCTGCTGATCGATCTACCAAGGCTTATTCTCCGTATTTCGAGGCTGTCAGATAGGTGTTATGACTTTTGTGCGAGTTGCATCCTGTCAGTTATTGATGACCCGAGCAAACAAAAATTCAATGAATGTGGATTCCAATTGGTTTGGAGATGAACACACAGACTGGCGTGTTTTGTCAATAAAAGAACTGAAACGATGAAGAAAACAAAAAAGTGAGAACAAAAAGTCTTTATGGGACTATTGCCATGCATGCCTTGGGGAGGATTCGAACCTCCGTCTTCCCAAGTGTAACACAATATTTGGGGCATATATTACTGAGTGGGGGTGATCTGCTTGATCTACCAAGGCTTACTATCTGTATTTTGAGGCTGGATAGGTACGAGAAGCCTCCGAATGTGGCAAGTCACTTTTCAACCTTCTAAGCTACGATTGAATATCGGAGCAAACAAAAACTGAATGAATGTGGACTCCAGTTGGTTCGGCAGTTCTACATGTGTATGAATGAATGCACAGGCTGGCATGTTCTGATTCTCGAATGAAGAAAAAGGGGGTAAAATAACTAAGGCAAGAACAAAAGTCACCTAACATGTTCAGGGCATATTCCCTACGGAGGATTCGAATCTCTGTCTTCCCGTATATTCTGAATAATGCACTGGGATGATTTGCCAATTGATCCACCAAGGCTTCGATACCCTGGTATATTTGTATCCTGTGTGTTTCTTATCCCACTGCTACATACTACTACAACTTGAGGTCCGTCGAATCGTACCTCGAACTACGGCCGAATAAAAAAATGTACACCAGGGATTCGAAGCCTCATCTGCACATTGTCTGCTTGATATTATCTGGGCCACTGAGTAGGGATGATCTGCCAATTGACCCGCCAAAGCTTTATTCTCTGTAAGTGGAGGTTGCATAGGTAGGTGCGAGTTTGTCTAGCTAAAAATCATGCGGCCAGCATTAGAAATGTAAATTGACCCGCCAAGGCTTTAATCTCTGTAAGTAGGTGCGAGTTTGGATTTTTGTCTAGCTAAAAATCATGCGGCCAGCATTATATCGAAATATATTTTCGATCCAGGAACAGTAAGTTTGAGGCGTTTTACAGCATTGCATCAAGCTTTTGAAATTCGAGGCTCTGGAGCCAGTAATAACCAAAGAGGAAGGATAGAGCCGCAGATGAAAAAAAAAACGGAAGTATTGATATTACATAAATGCCTTGGGGAGGATTCGAACCTCCGTCTTCCCGTATATTCGGGGACCACGACTTATACAGCTGGGATGATCTGCCAATTGATCCACCAAGGCTTTATTCTCTGTTTTTCGAGGCTGGGTGGGTGCAGTGAATTCTGTGCGAGCTGTAGACCTGAGCGACTCAACGATCACAATTGATGAATGAAATTATGGCGGACTCGTTCCTAGTGCTAATTAATCACGTCCTTCAATGGATAGAACCGCATGAAGTTCATGTAAAATTGATGCAGAAAAAACTACATAGGGTGAGGAAAAAAGAGGCATACGACATAATTATGCCTCGGGAGGGATTCGAACCCTCATCTTCCCATGATCTCATAGTCTTTGATCGCTGGAGTACGGAGAAGGGATGATCTACCAACGATCCACTGAGGCGTTCCTGCTCTTATTTGAAGATAGATGTTGTAAGTGCGAAGTGAGGTTGTAAATATTTAATAGACCGCCCCGAATAAAATATCAATCAGTCAGTGGTTCAAGTGAAGGTTATCTGGGTCGCACGCAGAAAAAAAGGGTTATTGTACAGAAAGGTGGTTACTGTACCGCGAGAAAATAATACGTGTAAGCTATGAAAAAGACCTGCCTCCGCGCTACTAGTATGCCTTAGAAGGATTCGAACCCCCCATCTTCCCGCTGTAGACTCGGTGCTACTGGCTCAAGAAACAGGGACGATCCACCATGATCCACCGAGGCTTTCCTGCGATACCTATGCAACCAGATAAGTGTACCATTCAAATTCACCTAGAATTAAATTTGAACTTGAACCAAGCCCGGCAACTCCTGAACCAATCAATTAATCATGGCCAAATCTCCTCATATCTTGACTTAGAAGTCCATCCAATGACCGGGAGAAAATTACTGTTGAACCGTACAAGTAAAGTAAATTGCTACCACCCGTGGGAAAAGTTCCGGTAAGTAAAGTAAAGTTAGCCGTGCCAAAATTAGGCGGTAAGTAAAGTTCCAAGTTAGGAAATAAGTTACTTTATTGGCCCTCAAAATATCCGACTTTGGCCCGCATGGCCCAGGACTACTTGGCATCCAAGGTTCAGCGACTGCGTCGGAGAGGGCCTCTCTAACGGATCTCTCATCAGGTTTTTGACAACTTAGCTTGTACAAGCTTGTACAGGAACAAAAAGACAGGA